TGTGTGTCTCTCCCCCATTTGGTCGGCCACATCCTGACAATTAGTGCAGGGCCTCCTTCCTTCTTCTCTCTGCCCCCACCCCCACACTTTGTCTGTCTTGCTGGCAGGCAGTTGGCAGTTGATAGACTGCAGCATGCTTATGACAGCGTTCTCACCGAAAAGTTCCCGTGGTATTCAGTAACAAGATCTTCTAGGTTCTTCAGGGTGGGAATTCGGGGCATTGTCCTGACAGAGGAGAAAGAGGGAGCAGGAGCACATAGGTTAAAGCTCTTTTATCACCCTTCTCCCAGTTGTCCCATATGAAATAAAGTGATCCTGTGTTCTCTGTGCCTGTGGCTTCCTTCCATCACCAAACCCTCTTGGCTAATCTCTCATTCCTTACTGTCCTGTCCTTTACTCCTAGAGACCCTGCAAAACCCTCCTCTGCTATTCTCAGCCACCGCCTCCCTCATTTTTCTGGGCTTCTCCAAATCTCACCGTTCCAGCCAGAAATACACACAGAGAAGGCTGATAATCAATCCCATGGAGCCAACAGAGATAACCACAGCTTCCAATGCAAACAGGAAAGGATTCTCTATAGAAACAAGAAAAGCAAAGTGGACCTTATATTTGTTGTGCCCGTACTACATGCCAACCTTTGTGGAGCCCCAACTTGGTGCCAGGCACTGCTCTAAAGACATACTCTCTGTTTAATCCTCACAACAGCTCCTGTGAGGCAGGAACACTTATTATCTCCATCTCACATCTCAGGAAACAGAATCAAAGAGTTTAGTGATGTGCCCAAGGCCAAAGAGGTAGTATGCGGCGGAGTCTAGATCCAGCTGGTTCCAAAGCCATCTTCAACCTTGCAGGCTCTCTAGGAATGCTTCAGGGAAATCCTATACATTCTATAGCCCCCTTGAATACCCCTCAGCCTCCTTCTCAAACCACCCCCTACTCTAACAACACACTAACCCAACTCTACACAGAAAAACCTTAATTTCTAGAGGTTGGGGTTGGACAGTGTGGGGACATGAGGCACCAAGTTTGGGGGCTTTAATGATAGGGAAGTGGAGCAAAAGACAGTGGAGTTAGAAAGGCTGGGGTGTTGGGCTTATGGATCGGGGTCATGTGGGCCCCATTTTACCCTTTGAAGTGTTGCTACCCCAGTGGATCAGGTGGCTCCATTCACTCCAATGCTGAGTACTTCCACAGAGTGGGTTAAAGCGGCTCCGAACACGAAACGTGTAGCGTTTCTGCCCATCCACACTAGGCAGGGAGAAGCTATGACTGTGACCTACTGATTGTTCCTTGAGGAGAAAGAGGATAAGGGAAAGTGGGTGTCTATAAAAGAAGAGAGAATTAAAATATACGCCTGAACACCCACCAGTATCATCTCTGCTACTTCCCAGTTCCTCTCTTCTCTCTTGACTACTCAAGCCACATTGCTCCCTTCACTGACTTGAATCTAAAGCCTCCCCTCCAGACCCCCTTAATGGCTTCCTTTTGTTTACTTGTCTATCTGGTATCAGGAAGAGTATGGGTAGGGAATCCGTAATGAAAACTCATTGGTATCAGGTACGGTGGCTCACACCTGTAATCCCAGCACTTTGGGAGGCCGAGGCGGGCAGATCACCTGAGGTCAGGAGTTCGAGACCAGCCTGGCCAACATGGCAAAACACAGTCTCTACTAAAAATACAAAAATTAGCCAGCTGTGGTGGTACATGCTCATAGCCCCAGCTACTCGGGAGGCTGAAGGAGGAGAATCACTTGAATCCGGTAGGCAGAGGTTGCAGTGAGCCGAGATCGCACCACTGCACTCCAGACTGGGCAACAGAGTGAGGCTCCGTCTCAAAAAAAAAAAAAGAAAGAAAGAAAACTCACTGGTGATGATAGGGAAAGGAGTTGGAGGAGGGAGGGTAAGGGGTAAGCAGAGGAGCTGTGAGGCAGAGAACAGGAGCTTGATAATTAGGTCCTCCTATCTGGCTGGTTGAATCCTTCAGCCCTACTTGCTTGGCCTTAGCTACTACATTCACATCCCTAATCACTCACAGTCCAGCTGTGGTCCCAGTCAGTCCGGTACTGCACCAAGTGCTCCAAACAGTGGTTCAAGAATCTGTTGTTCCAGTTCAGTTCTAGCTGGGATTCACTCAGTTTGCGAAGTGTTAGGTTCTCTGGAGCCCAGGGGATCACTGGAGATATGTGTGCGTATATGGTCATTCCCCTGGCCTGGACAAGTCAGGATGCTGAAGGTAGTGCCTCTAATACCTCCTCCCTTCCCATCCCGACCCCCTACCTCCACTTTTCTGCCCACATACTCTTATTTTTTTCTTTTTATTTATTTATTTTGAGATGAAGTCTCGATCTGTAGCACAGGCTGGAGTGCAGTGTCGTGATCTCGGCTCACTGCAACCTCTGCCTCCCGGGTCCCAGTTCAATCAATTCTCCTACCTCAGCCTCCCAAGTAGCTGGGATGACAGGCACAAGCCACCATGTCCAGCTAATTTTTGTATTTTTTGGTAGAGACAGGGTTTCACCATGTTGGCCAGTCTGGCCTTGAACTCTTGTCCTCGCGATCTGCCTGCCTCGGCCTCCCAAAGTGCTGGGATTACAGGCGTGAGCCACCGCACCTGGCCCCCTGTATCCCTATGATAAAAGAACACTACTCCGTAGACTCCAATGCCCCACAGTATCCCTGGTCTGTTGACCCTTTCCAAATTACCCAGATTCTGCAGTTTTAGCATCTGTATGGCCTGTCTCCTGGGTTCCCGTGGGTCCTGGAGCTGAACAACAAATGTTTGGTAGAGGTGGATCTCCTTTTTTTGCAGCTGACAGCCAGAAGTGATTTCTTCAGCAAATAGATAGTGGCTGCACTTCTGGATTTTATCATCATCCGAGTTCTTGTACCTAGAGGAGAAGGGTTGGAAGGAAGAGGAACACTGGGGCCAATCTGGGTACTGCAGATATGCAGAGCCCAGCCTCATCTCCCCTCAACTGACTTATGACTTACCCAGGAGAAAACAGTGGGGCACCTGGGAGACTTGCTACCCTCTTTCTTGGTCTCTGATCCAACCCACCTCTTGTTCCTCCCCTCCCCCCTTTTCCCTTCTCATACCAATAGTGCAGAGTAAGGTTGGTAGGCTGGGGCTCAGAGCTGCTGTTCCAAGTGCAATTCATGTACTCGACATTGAACACAAAACACTGAACTTCTGGGAGGGGCAGAGTGGAAACACTGAAGGAGTCAGTGGGCATAGAGGTCAGGAAGAAATCTAGATGATTGGGGAGAAAATGAAGGCAGGGAGGGAAAGAGAAGAAATGATGGTCAGAAGGAGGCTGAGCATGGTGGCTCATGTCTGTAATCCTGGTGCTTTGAAAGGCCGAGGCAGGAGGATCACTAGAGGCCAGGAGTTTGAGACCAGCCTGGGCAACGTAGTGAGACCCTGCCTCAAAAAAAAAAAAAAAAAAAAAAAAAAAAAAAAAAAAAAAAAAAAAAAAAAAAAAAAAAAAAAAAAAAAAAAAAGAAACGAAAAACAAAGAAGTAGCAGCATGAGGCAGGGAATCCTCCCCCTTTCCGTTCCTACTCTACTTTTAAATTCTGCCCACATGACTGTAATGGCCAGTGGCAGTTTCCAGATTTCTGTACGGCCCCTTCCCACAGCCACCCTTCTCACCAACCCTCTCCAGTCCCAGATTTCCCACCAGCTGTGGTGTCTTCATTCCCATTGGGTGTCAGAATCGTCGTGTTAAGCCCCACTCCTAGCAGCGGCAGCTGCAGGAATAAGAGAGATCTGAATGGTAATAATGGCTTCAACATGGCGCTTGCTCTTCATTCCCTGGGTGTCGTCTGTCTGTGTCAGGAACCTGGGTCCCTCACCCAGTACCCCTCCCCACCCACACATTTCCTCTGTCATAGCTTCCGGTGGAAAGAACCTCATAAACCAGGGCTATAAAGAGGGTGTGGCAAATGTGTGCTGTGTAACACAGGCTAAGTTATCTGGGAGATTAGGTGCTGCTGTAAGGTGTTAAATAGAAACTAAGGCTGGGTATACAATAGCGTCACAGAGTCAAAAATCCTCAGCCTACCTAGATCCTGGGAAGGATCTGCTCACTAGCACTAGCACCATTCTCAACCACCTTCTCCTCTAAATCATTATCTTCTATAATGGAGGTTCTGAATCCCTACCCCCAACAACCATCCTATGCTATGCTTCTTCCTTGACTCAGTCACCCTTAAATCTCTGTCAAAGCTGTACTGTCTTGGGAGGATGGAAAATACTGTCTTGGCTCCTGTGGGCACATATACAACTGTCTGTCCTCTGATCTAATCCAAACCAGAATACCCACCCTTAGCCGCTGCCTGAGCTGGGTCCCTGTTGAAACCGGTAAGGAGGTGTGACTTATAATAGAAAAAGATTCTAGAAATGGAGGAACAACAATCCTAGCTTCAAGCTTCCCATCTTCCCCCAACTCTGCTTCTCTTCATGCCTTCCTTACCTTGGTCAATGGTATCATCACCCTCTCATTCACCCAGACTTGAAACCTCAAGAATTAGCTTCAATTTCTCCCTCTCTCTCACCCAGAGAATATAATCTACTCTGCTTCTGTGGTGTTTCTCCCAACAGTTTCCTCCTTTCCATTACCACAGCCACTCTGCTAAATCAGTCTTTCATTAGCTCTAGTCATGACTACTAGACTCCACCAATCGGCCTCCCTTTCTAAAGGTCCTCTGCTTTCTAATCCATTCTTCATCCTGTTGCCAGATTTACCGTCCCCCAAAACTCAGAGCTGATTGGAGAAACTACTTACAGAAACTATTTATTCAGGAAACACTTATTAAGTTTTTAACACGTGCAAGGCACTGTGCTTATGTTCCGGAAATAGACCAACAAGACATCCTCATATTTCTAGATGCTCCTGGAAAAGTGGGGAAGACATAAACAAGTAATACAATTAGGGTAACAAGTCCTATAGCATAAATGTAGAGATACTACAAAGTATGTGCATACAGAAGAGGAAGTAACTAAATTTACCAAGATGGAGAGGGGAGTAACTTAGTGAAGTCCATGCTGAAGCGGTGCTATTTACAGTGGCATCTTAAAGAACAAGCATAATTTTATCAGACAGAAAATGGGGTAGGATATCAAGCAAAGAAAAAGAGCACTCGCCTAGGAGTCTCAGGAAAACTGGACTATAAGGCCTAGGATATATTAGTTTGCCAGGGCTGCCATAAGTTATCTCCAAACTGAGTGGCTTAAATCTACAGAAATTTATACTCTTGGCTGGGCGTGGTGGCTCACGCCTGTAATCCCAGCACTTTGGGAGGCCAAGGAGGGCAGACTGCTTGAGGCCAGGAGTTCAAGACCAGCCTGGCCAACCTGGTGAAACCTCATCTCTACTAAAAATACAAATATTAGCCAGGCAGCAGTGGTGCATGCCTGTAATCCCAGCTACTCGGGAGGCTGAGACATGAGAATCGCTTAAATCTGGGAGGCGGAGGTTGCAGTGAGCCAAAATTGTGCCACTGCACTCTAGCCTGGGCAACAGAGTGAGACTCCATCTCAAAAAAAAAGAGAAATTTATTCTCTCACAGTTCTGGAGCCCAGAAGTCTGAAATCAGTGTGGCCAGTGTTGGTTCCTTCTGGAGGTGCTGAGGAAGAAGTTCCATGCCTCTTTTCTAGCTTCTAGCGGCTGCTGATATTCCTTGGTGCTCCTTGGCTTGTATACATATCATTCCAGTCTCTGCCTCCATCTTTGCATTACCTCTTCTTCTCTGCATCTCCTTTATCCTTCTCTCCTCTTACAAGGACATCTGTCATTGAACTTATGGCCCACTCTAATCCAGGATGTTCTCTCCTAGAGAGCCTTACCTTAATTACAGCTGCTAAAAGCCTTTTGTCAAAGAAGGTGACATCCACAGGTTCCAAGTGAACATATCTTTTTGGAGGCCACATTCAACCCACTACAGGGGACATTCTCCAACTTAAAAGTCTTCAAAAGCTACTCATGGCCTTCAGAATAAAGTCCAAGCTCCAACAATCAATTCCAGCCACATTGGATATCTCATGCGCATTTACTTTTTCTGGAATGAGGCTCTTCCTAACTTTCTGTGGGGTAAAATCCTTCATAGGGCGAAACCTCATCCTACTAAAAATACAAAAATTAGCTGCATTTGGTGGCACTCACCTGCAGTCCCACCTGCTCAGGTGGCTGAGGCACAAGAATCACTAGAACCCAGGAGTTAGAGGTTGCAGTGAACTGAGACTGCACAATGCCCTCCAGCCAGAGTGACAGACCAAGACTCTGTCTCAAAAAAAAAAAACAAAAACAAAAACATTAAATGAGTCATAAAAATGGGGCCTTACTCTGATAAAAACTGTGGCCTTTAAAAAAAAAAAAATCCTTCAGGGTTACACACCTGTTAGAATAGCCAAAATTGGGGCCAGGCGCAGTGGCTCACGCCTGTAATCCCAACACTTTGGGAGGCTGAGGCGGGCAGATCATGAGGTCAGGAGATGGAGACCATCCTGGCCATGGTGAAACCCAGTCTCTACTAAAATACAAAAAAATAAAAATAAAAATTAGCTGGGCGTGGTGGCATGTGCCTGTAGTCCCAGCTACTCAGGAGGCTGAGGCAGGGGAATCGCTTGAATCCAGGAGATGGAGGTTGCAGTGAACCGAGATTGTGCCACTTCACTCCAGCCTGGCAAAAAAGCAAGACTCTGTCTCAAAAAAA